TAAGAATTTAATTAGAACCATCCAACAGAATTCCAGGCTTGCATACTTTTATCAACTACAAGATGATGTCTGTATATATTTACAAATAATCTCTTAACTGGCATCTAAACTGTCTTTTTCGAAAAATAAACAAATGCTCATGTTTCATTGTGTATTGCACAGGTGTTTCCATGCTATTTCTCTTATATTTTCATGTGACATTTGGATAATCATAACAAATGCTGGACTGTCTGTTATATGCACCCAAAATATTCTTGAGTGAATGTCTAAGGACAATCACCCACTATCACAAATGTTTGTCTATCAATCTGGATTATCTTCTGGGTGGATTTATTGTTGAGCAATTGCATAGTGAGGACCATGAACAAACAAGGATGAAAACAAAAATAGCTACATTCCTTAATAGCTGGAAATCTCTAAGCATCCTTGGGAATATAATAGCTATCAAAATTTGGGGCTAAAGGACAGTTAGCTAGTGAGAGAGAAGAAAGAAATAATTGTGGAGCTGATTTGGAAGTTTAGATAAAAAAAATAGAATCATGAAATAAAGGTAATTTTCCCACTAGGTATAAAGTTAGTGATATACAGTGATATAGTGATCCAATCACTGGTGAGCCAAAATAAAACAATTGAGGACAGGCTTTATATCAGTTCAATGATGGCTGGGTGAAATTATGATCATGCTACAAATAACGACTATTGAAATGGCCATTTTGAATCTAAATGCATTTGGATGATCTGCAATAGTGGCGAATATCTGTAGCTTGGGTGTAGGATGAGGGTGAAGATTCATTCTCCAAGCTTGTGGGTTGGTTTCCAAATGTTTCGTTACCAGGCTAGGTCACATCTCCAGCAGCGTCCTTCCCCCCTCCAGCAGTTCACCTTCCAATGACCCTGACCTGATGTAATCTCCCCATCACAAGACCCATCACAAGACTCAGGATGACTCACACCTGACCCATCACAAGACCCTCATTTGACACACTCACACCAGAAGCCCTTATAAACAGAAGAGCACTGACACAGACATCCCCTAAATGCTGCTGAGTTACCTAGCCTGGTAACAAAATGTTTGGAAACCAGCCCACAAGCTCAGAGAATGAACATTCACCTGCATTTGGATGAACTTTCTTTTAACCATTCCTCAGAAATTAGCTGCTGTCAGGAAAGGCAAAGAAACAGGGAAAAGCATGGACCTTCCTGGAGAGGTGGTTAGTAGCTGCTGCTTCTGCTATGTTTCTAACGAAGTGGTCTTTTTCCAACCCTATAGAGCAGGGGTCCCCAAACCCTTGTCCATGGACCAGCACCGTTCCGCAGCATGCCAGCAACTGGTCTGCACAAGCAAGTGAAGCCCCATCTGCAGGATGCAGACAGCACGTGAAACCACATCCCCTCTGGTCCATTGAAAAACCTTTCTCCACAGCACTGGCTGTTGGTGCTCAAAAGATTGGTGGCCTCTGCTATAGAGCCCACACTGAAGTCTCAGCAACAGCACTGGTAATAAGGCTGGCAGTAGAAATTCATTTTTTTCTGCTTGCTAGTGCAGTGACCAGTAGCCATTTCCCCCATGTAACCCTAACCCTAGTCTTTGGTACTGGATAATTTAGGAAACATTCTAATACTGTTCTTCTCCCCCCAGTGGAATTTACTAATGAGAATATTGACCTTTGGATCAAACCAAGAAAAGAAAAAAGTTCTTGGGTGATATAACAGCCTGACAACTGAAGCAGTCATGGCCAATGCGATACAGAGCCCTGCGGCCCAAAGGAAGAAGGAAGTCTCTCAGCAGGCTTATTGGAGCCCAGCAGGTCTCTGAACTTTCACAGGTGACTCCTTCATATGATGTAGAACGTCTGTATTTGTTTCCTTCCATTTTCCAATGGAAAACACCACTTTGGGCCAAGTCCTTTTCAACTGTCCTCAGGGGAGGGATTGCCCTCCGATGTGGAAGTATACTAAGAAACAATAAGTAGACCATTTTGGAGCAAAGAGCTTATATGAGGGAACTCTTACATTGGCTTTCTGTATCCTTATTACCATGCCCCTCTTAACCTTTCATTTGGATTACAGGATTGATTACAAGTTATTCAGCTCAAATACGAAGATGTACTTCCTTTTATATATCTGGACAATAATCTGTTTTATTTTAAAATACATTCTGCTCACAAGTTCCGATATATATATATAATTCATTTCTTCCCATTTTGAATTTTGCTTCCAGGGCAGGGGTTCTCTAGTTGCCAGGATCTAGTTCTTCTCCCCCAACTCATGATCACATGCCTTCTTTGTGGCAATTATTTTGCCATGTAAAACAACACTGTCACATCAGGGGGGTGTTTAGTATATTTTTAGCTTTTTAAATGTGATTTAGCAGCTGGAAATGAGAGAATAATAGTCAGAAGGTAACAACTGTAGGAACTCATAGCTAGGGAGGAGGGGGCAGCTGGGTTTCATTTGTGTAGATTGAAATGGCAACATGCTTTTTGGACAAAGTGAGGAGACTGGAAAATGCAGATAAAAAAGTGAAATAAGCTTGATTAGAAGAATTTGACTGAATTTGACTTTGGTCAAGATGATGAATGGAGGAACCTCCAGAGTCCCAATTTGTGAATTGGAGGGCTATATATTGTACATTGACAAAAAATAAATAAACACATTTCTCTTTTCTAGGACTCCTCTGGAGATGAAGGTCCCACTTTGTGTGTAAAAAAGTTTAATTCAGGTGTCTTTGGTACTCTCTGAGCTTGGATGTTTTCTTGCAGACATTTCATTACCCAAACTAGGTAACATCATCCATGCTAGTCTAACTCTGTTAGCACTATCACTGATGATGTTATATAGCTTGGGTACTGAAATGTTTGCAAGAAAATCACCAAGCTCGGAGAACACCAAGGATCCCTCATTTCATCCCTGAGCTACAAATATTCTCTTTTAAAGTTTAATTCCAGAGGGATATGTTTACTGTTTTGACATCTTGTCTCCTGAGGCAAACAATGATTTTAAATAGTAATTTTAATTGGGAGCCACAAAGGATGCAGGGGGATAAAAAAAAAATAAGGTCCTTCCCAGTTCATTGTAAATCCAGACATGACAAGGTTGCTTTTTCGGCAGTGACTACTTGAACAGTACTACTCTGTTAAATGAGAATACACAACTAACTTAGCACATGGTTTTGGCCCTTTGCTTCAAGGACTCAAGTCAGAGCAAACTCTAGCTCCCATTTTCTCATAGTGTTAGAATTTGCTACTCTGAAGGATACTATTGACAATTAAGACTTTGAAGTTCAGTTTTAGGATTGCAGGCTTTGCCTCAAGTGTGCAGTACACCTGTTTTGGATTACTAATATTAACTTGCCAGCTATTTTTGAAGCTAATAATTGAATGTTGTGTCTAATTCCCAGTGGCCTTCAACACAACTGTGCTGATCCTCAAAGAGCTAGGCTGCATATCTATGATAGTTTATAGAAGCATATTTAGGATTCAGTTACAGCAGCTTTTTTATATAGTTTATCAGATGATCTAGTAATGGCATACCTCAGTAGTATTATCAGATCTAAAGTGACTATTGTACATTTGTTTAAATATAAATACTCTTTGATAAGGAAGTATTCTCAGGGTTGATCTTGAAAAGAGCACAGTACAGATTTTAATATCTAAAGATAGCACAAGGATTTCGGGTTGATTTGACAGTTTGATTGATATACCTTGAAGTGTTTAATTGCATATCTTGCCTTTTCTTAAAAATGGTTTTCTTTATATATTTAACACATTTTACCTTAGTTTTTATGTATGCTAAAAATCAGTAATACTTGTCTGTTATATATAGGTTGGTAATACCTTTGGACAATTATATTTTCTTATGTACATAATTTTAGAAGTGTTAACCCTACTTTAGCCTTCAGTTCTTCAAGATTGGCCAGATCAGACATCACTAGACCTCTACCACTATAGGCAATAATAACAGAATATTGAACACTTGATAATGTTTCTTCTTCCATCCCTTTTATACGAGTACCAAGGAGACTCCAAATGGGACAATCTTTAGTTTCTTTCCCATACTTTCTCATTCTTCTGGACTAAGCTCATGTTTTACTAATGGTTGTTACAAATTGCAAGTTCAACTCTTGCAACATGAACTGCACTGAGTATTTCAGTGCAATACTCTTTATGACTTTTGGGTCAAACGTATGGATTAATATACTCATGTTCCCATTCTAAAGATAGTGAAGGTATTGAATAGCAGCACAAAGCGCTTAATATGCAGTGAACTACAATTTGAAGTTTCCTGACAACCAGATAGAAATCACCCTACTGACTCAACTCTGTTGATGCTATTTTTTTTTCCCCCAAACTCCATACAACTGCTGTCTGGCTCTTGTCCTTACGGGAGTTCCATAACATATCAACACTGGAACCCCTGGAATAAAATAAAAAAAAGTTCCCCTAAGTATCAATCTCCTCAATGAACTAGTCATGAACTAAACTGCAAAGAAGCCCTACAGTGAAGGTGGTATTGCAATTACAGGAACAATGATTTCCAATGTTTAATTACATTTTTTTTCCTGTTCAGAAGAACTTTAGTAGAAATAATGGTTCATCTCCATTTATTCAGGACAATATGGTTCTAGTACTTGTTTCCAGTACATATTTTCAATAGTTTTTTCATTCTTAAGAAACTGTAATTTTTCTTTTTCTGGGGGGGGCGGTTTAATTTGACCTTATATTGCTGGTCAGTTAGACTACTGCATTCTTTTACCTGAAACAGTGGGGCAACATCCCGAATAAATGATCACTGAAATACCGCAGCAAAGTTAAATCTGTGCCTTCCCTCTCTTTCCCTTTGTTGGCCAGGCCAAGGTCAGGGGAAAAAGGCAAAATCCAGGCCGTACTTTACCGTTCCCCTTGCCGCAGTCTATTAGCGTTAGCCTTAGCCTTTTCACTTCTAAAATCTGAGTAGGCGTAGATGCTAAAGAATTCCAGCCCGGGTTTTGCTGCCACCCCAGCGACGCAGCCAAAAACTCTTGGATTCCTTGCCTACTGTACTGTGGGGTGTTCAAATCTCAGCGAGGGAAGGCGGATCTAAGTTTAAGGGGCTGCGGAGCAATGGAGGCGAATCCCATCTAGCAAAGGGTCGACTTTTCGAGCAGCAACGATGGTGAGTCGCTCTTGGCCACTGTGCTTATGCGGGAAGCTTTCTCGAGACCCTTTTTCGATTCGGGATCGGTCCAGTTGCCTTTGTTCTCAGGCTTTCTTCGGACACCAGTACTTGGTCTGCCCTTCTGAAACCCGCGTCGATTTAATCCATTGATTCCTTGACACGGGGTTTCTTGCCCTAAAACCAAAGAGAAGGGGAGCCGCTTCCCTTGGGAATCTGCAACCGGTTGGACCCGATTCCTTGAGGCGGGGTGCGGGTGGAGGGGTCGGCGGATAGCATATGGGGCCGGTTAATGGTTATTTAGGGGATATAAGGATGCTGGTGGGGACGGCTGTTAAGGTTGCCTCGGACATCAATTGGAGCGAAGGAGTTTGGTCTCTTTAGTGCCAGGCTCAGCATCACGAAGTGATGGGGGGAAAGGATGGCCGGAGCCAGTCCAGCAGAGCAGGCAGCTGATTTGCCCGAGGCCGAGTTGGAAAAAAAGTGACACCTTTTTATTTGCGAGGACGATCCTCCATGGCAGAGGCTGGACGCCGTCAAATATTACGCTTGGCTGGGCAAAGGCTTGGAATGGATAATCGTGGTAGCGATATAATTAGTTTGTGTAGAGAACTTCTCTCCGTGAATGCCTCCTGGGTAACTTCACATTGTGACATTAATGCCGGGATAGTTTTCTACCGAGCGAGCCGTAAATCTGGATAAACCGGAACACATGATAGCTATAGGTCGGGTTCTGTGCGCGCCTTTTATCCAGTAGGGCAGAATAGCAACTAGAATATGGTCCGGCAGGAAAGCCGAGCAGCGCCTGTTTTTTTTTTGCCAGCAGGCAGCCTAACCACAGTTCATGCGAAGGTGAATTGGAGCTGCTGCTTTCCAAAGGTTAAACTCAATCTATTTCACCTGCGCTAATAGTCCCCGGAAAAATGAAATGAAATAAAATTGCGGGGAGCTGCTTGTAATAAACAAGCGCTTGATCGGTGCCGTAGATGCGATCTCTTTACAGTTCTCCAACACTTGGCCTTCGCAACAGAAAAAGATAAAGACATTGATTTAAATCATGTATACAGGTGGAATCCTCAGGAATGTTTGATGACTTGAGTTCAAAATGTAACAGACATCATGCATAAATCAGCTCAGAATTCAGTAGGAGATCTCGAGTAAGTTGTGTGTCTATGTAGTTCTGCTGTAAATGAACCTTTTTCTTTACCTGCTTGAATCTATGAAAACCTTAATCCTATTCTTTTGGGACTGTAAACCCAGAATGAATAGAGCAAAGCTCTTGTGCTACCCGCCTTATTCTTTTGTTGGAAGAGACCACCCTGAAGTTCTGCCCTCTGTCTGTAAAGGAGGCAGATTCTTGAATATGCAAATTTTTGAATATAAAATAAGGAAACAATATGTAAACAAAAATTATTGAAGTTGCAAGATCTCAGACTTGGAAACTGTTTTGATGTTTTTAAATTAAATCAGTTAAATTACCTAGCATTCAAAAGAGCAATTGTCATAGCATTCCTTGTGGATAGTAGTACAAATCTATATTTAAATCTCACTATAAAAGTTTGGAAGAGGTGAAATGAATTCTGACTCCCTGAGCCTTCTTTCACGCCTCAATAGCCACATTAAATCCATGGATAAACAGCATCGGTTCAAGGACGACTAGTGGATTTTATATAACTTGTTATTGATAGGGAACCTATTTATGAGAAGCTGCTTTGCAGAAGAATTGTTCGTAAGTTACAACTTGTTTTAAATTGGAATAAATGCATTATTTCTTCTAAGGTCACCAGACAATTCTTAATATCAAGAACAATAAGAATGTTTGGAAAACATATATTGGCCTAGGAAGCACTTGAGGGGACAGTGGTTGTAGCAGGGGAACCTTCCAAAGGACAGCAGGAGGCCATCCGGTGATTTGGATGTGTATTTAAGAGTGAGAATGGGAGGTCTTAGGAGACAAACTGATTCCATTGCTATCATTAAATTGTCCCCAAAACATTTTAAAAATGCCCCCAAATTGCCTAACAACTAATTCCTAACGGATTCACCCTTGCAAATGGTGCTTGGATAAAAATAGTCAATAAGGGTGTTTAAATCTAGTCTCTACGAATACCAATGTTATTTATAGATACGTCTGATGTATATGGGATCTCATTTGAAATGATATTTTTGTGTGTGTGTGTATGTGTTTTAAGTTTTGATTATATGGTTTAATAACTTCACATTTTTTGTGGCCCTTGATTTCTGAGTTAGGAGCATATAAGCTAATATCAGTAACAGATAATTTAATCTTTTTCAAATGTTAAACTCTTGATTTATATATATATATATTCATTCATATTTGTAGCTATCATGATCTTGTCTTTTGGGCTAAGCAATATTATATAAATCCTAAAAAGAGGGTAAAAATAGCAAAAAAAAAAAAAATTAAAGACGTGAGACCAAAAAAGGAAATTGTAAATTATATATACCGTTCACTTTATGTTTTCCTACTTACTATCTTTGCATATCATTGATACTTTATCACAGTGATGGCGAACCTTTTAGAGACCATGTGCCTCAAAACTGGCCCCGCTCCTGCTCCACCCCCTGCCCCACCCCCACCCCGCCTGCCTGCAGGGCCAATCACCACCTCCAGGGCCCGCCACAGATCGCCCAGGCAGCTCAGCAGCACCATAGTGGCCACACACTCTGCCCATGCCCTGCAGCATCAATTGTGCGCAATCGGGGGTGAGGGCTGTGCTGCTCCACGTGGGCCACACTTGGGGGCGACTCTCCAGGGGGGCTGCTGGTGAGGAGGGGGTCATGGGGGGAGGCAAGGCTGGGGCAACAGCCTGTGTGCCACAGAGAGGGCTCCGAGTGCCGCCTCTGGCACCCGTGCCATAGGTTCGCCATCACTGCTTTATCATATCCATACATTGCTTCATACACTAACTTTATTCTCTAAACTACTTCTTTCCATTTAGTCCTAACTCCATCCCATCACAATTTTCTCAGTTTTCCCCTTCTTTTCAGTCCATTCCAAACCCCTTCAATATATTTCTTTTGCATTAGTATTTATTTTCTATATTGGTCTAAGACTCTAATAAACTCACACTTTACTCCATGTTATACGGGTACTCCTTGACTTACAACTGGTCAGTTAGTGATAGTTCAAAGTTACAATGATACTGAAAAAAGTAACTTATGACCATTTTTCACACTTATGACCATTGCAGAGTCCCCTTGGTAATGTGATCAAAATTCAGACGCTTGCCAATTGATTCATATTCATGCTGGTTACAGTGTCCAGGATCATGTGCAATCTCCTGACAAGCCAAGTCAATAGGGAAGCCAGATTCACTTAACAACTGTGCTACTAAGTTAACAACTGCAATGATTCACTTAACTATGGCAAGATAGGTAACATGGGGCAAAACTCACTTAACAACTATTTCACATAGCAACAGAGATGTTGGGCTCAATTGTGATTGTAAATTGAGGACTACCTGTATTCAGTCTACATTCATTCATTACTCCTTCACCCTTAATCCTATCTCTTCATATTTTATCACACACATTTTTCAAATGTTCTCTTCCTATAATATTCAATTTCATTTTATGTTTCTCCTGACATATCCTACCCCACATAACAAAAGGGGCAGGTGCATGCTTTTAATCATAGCATATAAGTATGTTCATATTCAGATAAATGTTTCTCATCATGTAAGCAGTCTAATATTGACTGTAAATACTTCAGCCCTTGGCTAGCAAAATGGCATCATCTGCATAAAAAGTACACATACGAGGGCAATTCGGAAATAAATCTCCATTTGGTTATCAAAGACAGACACTTGCAGATACAGAACTTTTATTATGCACATTAGAAAACTACAACATTACATTACTTTTTGACATAATCGCCATTCAAATTGAGGACTTGTCATAACGTCGGTTTGAAATTCCTTAGTGGTAGTCGTTTGGCGCCAAATCTGGGCTATGGGCGGGCGATCAAAAACATCCCAACAGAACTGCTTCAACTGCAGGCGAGTGTTATCGTGAACCAACACTACAATGGAAGTCAGCATGCTCCGACGCTTGTTATAGATGGCTCATCTGGGTTTTCATAACGTTTCACAGTAGACTTCTGAACTGATGATTGAAACACGCTCCATGAACTTCACTAGCAGACTCTTTGGCATCTTCACATTTCACACCTTGTAAGACATTATGACAAGTGCCTCAATTTGAATGGCAATGATGTTGAAAAGTAATGTAATGTAGTTTTCTAATTTGTATAATAAAAGTTCTGTATCGGCAAGTGTCCATCAAAATTGCTTGCATTTTCTCTCCTTCCTTTATTCTTAACCAGTTCCTTGTTCTGACTACAGTGCATTTTTTGCAACTATGTTTTTTCCTGTATATTTTTTTACTGATTATGTGCCATCATTGTACTGACTCTTAATGATCACATAGATTTTCTCCATGACATCCTGTCCCTAATCTGTTTTCCAATGGTGTAACTCACCATGGGACAAGAGTTATGTTAATATCAAAGAAATGGTGGCACAGAATCATTAAAGAAAGAAAGAATGCCAAAGGAGGGACAAAATGAAATGTGAATGACAAAAATTAAAATAATGTTTTAATTGTTTTAGATAATTGAATTGAATTGTCCTTGTGGCAAGTTGTCCTGTGATGAGTTAGCTGTGGCGAATTGACCGTGGCAAGGTGTCCCATTCCATTTGAGTCTTAGTGAAATGGGATCTTCATTCTAACCTACTTGGAGAAGTTGCTATAAGGAATCTCCAAGACTGATTATAAAGTTTCATCTCCGTACGTAAGACTTGTTTGTTGTGATAGAGACATTCATTAATTTATAGTTACAAATATAAAATTTGATTATCAGTAGAATCAAGACTTCGGGCAGAAATTGGATGTTAAGACAGGATCATTTATCTATCAATGGTAGCAATATCATTCTTTCCACCTACTGCAGATCAAGTTACACATTCTAACTACAG